GTTCAGGCATTGGTCTGGGACATCAAAGGGAATAAGCAGGAACCTGGAACCCCTACAGGTATGAGCGTGGGTCTGGGACCTCTGAGGAAGAAAGCAGGTCCTCTGCGGATCCTGGCGCACCCGAGCCTGGGACCCCCAAGGCAGTAGACCAGAACCAGAAACCTTTCCAGCTCCAACTCCAACCCAGGGACTTCTACAGGAGGGAATCCAGACCAGGATTTACAGACACAGGTCAAAGCTGGTAACCTAGGCCAAAGTTGCCCTAAGGCAAGAAACTCCATCTTGGCCAACAAATTCCACGGAACAGAACTGAACCAAGACAGAGAGGGCCTGAGGACAGAGAGGGCCTGCTCCACTGGGAACAGAAGCCAGGAGCAAATCCAGTCCAGGGAGCTAACCCAGTCCCAGAACACTGGCGGATCAGGACTGAGCCAGTGACCAGATCCAGAGCCAGTGATCTCCACTAGAACAGGTCCAGCACCAAGCCAGGAACTTCTACAGGAGGAGATTCAGACCAGGATTTACAGAAACAGATCAAAACCAGCAGCCTAGGCCAAAGGAGGCCGGAGACAGCAAACTCCAAGGGAGCAGAGCAAAGCAGAGGAAGGAGCACTGAGCTATCTCCAGGAATAGGAGTAACCAACGGGGTAACTAGAACTGTGACACTGACTGTACCGCGAGGAACAACCATCTGAGCTTTGGATTCGCTGGCACCTAGAAGATTATTCAACAGAATCTCAGACAGCCTCAACCATACCTATTAGAAAAAAAGATAAGTAGAAAAGGTAAGATCACATGCTACACCACAAAGAGCAACACAATACCAGTAAAACCTAAAGACCCTACAACAGCAAGACCTGAACAACCAAACATGGATGAACCAGAAGAAAATGATCTAAACAACAACAACAACAAAAAAAAAAAACTCAAGAGAATGTTTGAAATTCTTAAAGATGAAATGAGAAATTCCTTTAAAGAAATGGAGGAAAAAAACAAAAGATTGGAAGATATCAGCAAATCACTTAAAGAAAACCAAAAAAAGAAGTCAAACATAAAAAGCAAAAGATTTATATGATCTGAAAAGAAACCAGAGTATGCAATCAAACATATAAAACCAACTAGCCAGGACTTGAAAACCGAAATAGAAACAATAAAGAAAACAAAAGCCGAAGGAATTATAGAAACAGAAATCATGAGAAAAAGATCAGGAACCACAAACGCAAGCATGAACAGCAGAATACAAGAAATGGAAGAAAGAATCTCAAGTGTTGAAGATACAATAGAGGATATAGATTCATCAGTTAGAGAAAACATTAAATCTAACAAAAGCTTAACCGAAAATGTCCATGAAATATGGGACACCATGAAAAGGCCAAATCTTAGAATAACAGGTATAGAAAAAGGAGTTCAACTCAAAGGCATAAAAAATTTATTTAACAAAATCATAGAAGAAAACTTTCCTTACCTAAAGAAAGATATGCCTATGAAGATATAAGAAGCTTACAGAACACCAAATAAAGTGGATCAAAAAAAAAGTCCTCTCGCCACATAATAATCAAAATACTAAACATACAGAGTAAAAAAAGAATATTAAGAGCTGCAAAGGAAAAAGGTCAAGTAACATATAAAGGTAGACCTATCAGAATTATACCTGACTTCTTTTTGGAGACAATGAAAGCCAGAAGGTCAAGGTCAAGCATTATGCGACATTAAGAGGCCTTGTGTTTTTAGCCTCCAGAGGGTATAGGCCAGATTTAAGGTAGATCTTCCTGTTTCAAATAATCTGATTAAGAAAATCACCCACAGCATCCTATAGGCAGTCCTAGCTGATCTCAGATATAGTCAAGATGACAACCAAGATTAGCCATTACAAACACTTAGGGATGAGAGGAAATGGTGGAAGAGGGAGCAGAAATACTGTAATGTCCATTGTAAGAGCCACAGAATCAAGATCTCAACTCTTGTCATGTTATCTAGACATGACAAGAAACCCACACCAATAAAATTCAAACAACATGGTTGCCTAAACAAGACTGGCATAATGACACCAGGTGACATCCCAATGTGTATGGGAAAAAATTCATAGGGTCCCACACCTAAATGCAGAGCTATAGGAAAATCAATGGCTTCTGAGAAAGGAAGAACCCATCTAATACATTATCCAATTCAAAATGGTCAGCCTTAAACACACGTACATATGAGCAACACTAAATGAATTTGGGTATGTGTATGTGTGTGTGAGCATGTGTGTGTACATAACAGTAGTAATTAAAGAAGATGCCATGAATTTGAGAGGGAGGGAGGGGAACGTGGGATGAGTTGGGGAGAAAAGAGATAAGTAGTAATAATGTAAATAAAGTACCCATTCTCAAAACAATAAAAACTTTAAGTTAAACTAAATAACATGTTTTAAAGACTTAATAAATCCTCAATAAATGGTTGTATGGCGGACTAATTATGAAGTTTCAATAAAAAAGATCAGACATTCTAACATCATAGATAAATTATCTGAGTATATATAGTTACATGAATTGAAGGAACATAACTTCTATAACATTACAGAATTTCTAAATTTTTCTCTTGCCTAGCCTTACCTACCAAAAGTCATTTCCATAAGGAGATTGTGTATTCCATCAAACCATAATTACTATTTGCACAGAGCTCCAAAACTATTTTATGTTCATTTTTTACATAAAGTCCTCCTTTAAATCCTTATAATCTACTCTTCTCCCAGTCTTCAACATTTTTCACCCTCATTGTAAACGGTCTTAAGTCTCCTCTTAATTTTATTTCTATTACTGTGATAAAGACCATGACCAAAAGCAACTTTGGAAGGAAAAAGATTTATTTCACCATACAGCTTGTAGTTCATCATGAAAGGAAATTGAGGTGGCAACTCAAGGTAGAAACTGGAGAAAGGAACTGAAGCAGACCATGGAAGAGTGCTGCTTACTGGCTTGCTCTCCATTACTTGCTCAGCTGTAGTGATATTTCATTTGTATTTTAATAAATAAAGCTTGCCTGAAGATCAGAAAGTAAAACAGCCCCACTGGTCAGCCTTACAGACCAGGCAGTGGTAACATGCACCTTTAATCCCAGTAGTCACATTCACTATCATAGAAACTGGGTGGTACATGTAATCCCAGTGGTGCAATCCCTTAATCCCAGCCCTAGAGAGGACTATAAAACGGGAGGAGACAGCTCTCAGACAGAGTATCATTCTGAGATTCTTGGAGGCAGGATCATCATTTCAGACTGAGGTAGAGGTAAGAGCCCGTGGCTGGCTGTTTTGCTTTTCTGACCTTCAGGTTGAATCCCAATTTCTCTGAGTTTTTAATTAGTCATGCTTCATTCAGCCTGCTTTCTTATACCACCCAAGACTATGCCCAGGGGGTGGCACTGTACCCAGGGAGCTGGGCCATCTCAGATCAATCATTAATCAAGAAAATACCCAGGGCTGGAAAGATGGCTCAGCAGTTAAGAGCACTGACTGTTCTTCCAGAGGACCTGGGTTCAATTCCCACCATCCACAAGACAGATCACAACTGTCTGTAACTCCAAGATCAAACAAACACACAAGCAAAACACCAATGCACCATAAAAGAAAAATAAATAAATTTGGTTTTAACCCAGGCAGTGGTGGCACACACCTTTAATCCCACCACTCGGGAGGCAGAGGCAGAGGTGGATCTCTGTGAGTTTGAGACCAACTTGGTCTACAAGAGCTAGTTTTAGGACAGGCTCCAAAGGTACAGAGAAACCCGGTCTCGAAGACAAAAAAAAAAAAAAAAAAAAACTTTAAAAAAAAAAAAGAAAATACCCGGGGCTGGACAGATGGCTCAGAGAGGTTAAGAACGTTGCCTGCTCTTCCAAAGGTCCTGAGTTCAATTCCCAGCAACCACATGGTGGCTCACAACCATCTGTAATGAGGTCTGATGCCCTCTTCTGGCCTGCAGGCATACATGCAGACAAAATATTGTTTACATAATGAATAAATATATACACAGAATATTGTACACATAATAAATAAATAAATAAATGAACACACACCACCTGCTTAAAAAAAAAAAAGAAGAAAATAACCCACAGACTTGCCTACAAGCAATTTAATGGAAGCACTCTCTCAGTTGATATTCCTTTTCCCAGATGCCTCTAGCTTGTGTCAATTAGGCAAAAAAACTAACCAGGACAATCATTACAGAAACAAGATGTAAAACCAAAAATCCTACAAAATTCTATTCATTTACCATCACTTTGTGTCATACATTACTTCCTCTTACCTGTTACTATTGTAGAAATGTTAATTCTTCCCAATGTTAAACACTTTATTTACCCAATAAATTCTACCCATCTTGCATATTGTAAAACATTCTATAGAAATGCTTGCGTTTGTTAACCCATGTCCCTCTCTAGTAACTACCCCTTATCTTCTTCCTTTAAAGTGGGACCTCTTGAGTTTTTTACACTTAATAGCAAAAGTTGCCTCCATTTTTCTATCACCCTCTCCTCAAATTCTTCCAATCACTGAAATTACTGGAAAAACTACCAATAATCACTTATCAATTTCATTTTATCTTTGAGAAACATTATTTAATATAATTTATCATTCCCTTCTCTCAAATTATATCATCAAAGACCATCAAAAACTCAATGATAAATATTTATTTGCATACAAAATATTTTAATAGTAAAGAATAAATTATAAATCTCAATAATGCATTTATAACAGTCAAAAGCTCTAGTTAAAAAACTTGGAACTTTAATATCCATTACAAGTAAAAGCAACAAAATGTAATTATCTGAATATAATTTAAAAATTCAGATAATATAAACTTATTTTACATTTAGGCCAAAAATATGAAGATAACATGAACGTATATTATTTATGCAAAGTAATTTTAAAGTCTAAGTTCCTGGGTAAAGGTTGGTTCTCTGGGAAATAATAATAAACTTAACCATTTATATTATTAGTCTCTATAATCAACATTGATTTCCTGAAATTAAGCAAATAACTTTTCTGCTTCCTTTAGTCTTCTTTTCCTATCAACTTTAGCAATTGTTGCCCAACGGTCCTCTCTCGTTTTTCTCACACCTTCAAACTTCACAGAAGACACAGGAGTTGATAGAGATAAAGGAGTCTAAATATAAAATAAAGTCAAACAGTATCTTAATATTTTTTAAAAAGGAAGTCAGTTTTTAAATTTTCCTTTCTGAAATAAAATTTAAAGGCTACCTGTTTTGGTGTTTTGACACATACATGAGTATTTGGTGAATTATTATTGTAAAATATGTTTGATGTCTCTTCTTCTGAAACCATGCTCTTGAAAGAAAAATACAAAAATACAGTTATCATCAATATTATGTTATTAAAATTTGGTCAATATATCACCTATAAGGAGAATGAAAAGTAGAGCAAGAGAGAGAAAGAGGAAAAAAGGAAAATAGGGCTTTTAACACTTGCACTCTGAGATTTGAAAGTAAAGTACTTAATTATGCACAAAACTCTAGAAAGCTATGCAGGAAATACAAGTCTGCTACAGGTCTGTGGGTTGGTTGGGATATAACATTAGACACTACCATTTAAGGCTGAACTTGACGGAAAAACAATTACCAGTCAATATTTCCATTGGAAAACATAAGAATTGAAGTAAGATTCTAGAATTCCAAAACAATTATTTCATTTCATATCTGCCAGCATAATTGTTGCATAAGAGAGGTTTCTGGTATATCGTACTTTACAATGTTCTCAAGATCATGCAAAATAATTTTATTTTAATTTTGCATAGTTTTGCAATGCTGGGGATTAAAGCCAGAGGATCAGTACTAGACAAATACTACCACTGAGCTATAACCTTACCCATACAATTCTTCTTTTAAAAAATCAAAATGAAATAAAGTTATTTTGAGTATCACAGTAACTAAGAAATGGACCGAGATCACTCTGCTAGAAATACAGCATAGATTAAAACATTGGAATGTTTACCTCCAAATCCAGGCCATTTCTAGACATTCTTATTACATCTGTATGTATCTGGACTGCATTTTCCTCTGGAAGCTATTATATACAATGACTTCCACAGCTATTGTACCAATCTATATTCAAGTTCTGATTTCATGCCTTACCATATGATCTTTGTTCAGCTTAGTTTCCTCAACCGTAAAAAGAAAACGACAATATTCTCTATAGTATTTCTTTTTTTTTTTTTTTTTTTGGTTTTTCAAGACATGGTTTAACGGCATGCATGCACAACCACCGTCTGGCTTCTATGCTTTTATAGAATCAAATTGTTATAATAAATAATTCAGCTAATCTATGGAAAACATTTTAAATAGGCCCTAGTTTACACTTTACTTATTGAGATGTTTTATGTTAATCATTATCTATGGGATTCTGTAGTAGGGACTCCATGTGTTAAGTTTAATAACAGGATTCTAACATTCAACTAATCAGTATTTCAATACAACAAATTAGAGGCTCCTAAGTAATAAAAAGCTTTAAATATCATATAATTTTGCCAGGCAGTGGCGGCGCACGGCTTCAATCCCAGCACTTGGGAGGCAGAGGCAGGCTGATCTCTGTGAGTTTGAGGTCAGCTTGGTCTACAAGAGCTAGTTCCAGGACAGTCTCCAAAGCCACAGAGAAACCCTGTCTCGAAAAAAAAAATCTTATAGTTTTAAGTGGTAATAATGAAACAGGGAGGCAGAGGCAGGTGGCTCAAGGCCAGCTTGATCTACACAGTGAGTTCCAGGACAGCTAATAGAGCTAAGACTATGTAGAGAGATCCTGTCTCAAAAAAGAAATAAAAAAGAAAGGATAAAAGGGAAAGGAAAAAAAATGAAATGGAACAACTGACTTTAAGTAGAATTTTGTCATTAATGATAAATAAGGTTTGTTGTTCAATTTAGTATAGTACTCTTAAATTATTCTACGTTTAACTATTTAAGCTTTATTATCCTTTAAGAAAGTTTTGGTGTGTGTATATTGAAGTAAACATTCCTATAAAGCAGTAGGGGAAGTAGCTTCCTTAAACATGCTAACATTACATTTCTCCTTAGGAGTAACAGATGTTAGAGCTGTCAATCAATATATATAAATGTCAATCAGTAGTGCTATAAAATGAAGCAACAAATATGAAAAAAGATAAGACCCTTATTAATAGATATGCCTGTGGAACTATTAAAATATTAATCCCACTTTTATGTTTTCAAATGAAGGAAAACTTCATAGTATTTTTCTGAAAAACAAGACAATCACTAGTCATCTCATACGTCAAGTATGTGAAATGGTGTTTTTTTTTTTAAGTATAATGTTTTTGGAAATTTAGAAGGAAATCGTTTGAACCTTAATTTCTATCAAATGATATGAAAACATATGACTCTGTATTGTGACAATTTTGTTCTATTTCATTATCACAATGCTATATACATTTATATCAAGGATACCACAATGATATGAGCAAGTAAAAAATAAAATGATATGAACAAGTAAAAAGTAAAAATGCTGGTTATTCATAACATTTTTACCAAGAGATCAGTAGTTTCCGAACTGTCTGAATTAACATCAAATTCAAAGACTGCTTTTCTCTTTTTATTACTTCCTCCAGTGGGTATATACTTGTTTTCTCTTTGAAATGTTTTTATTTTAGTTGGTGTCTTCACTGTATACTCCTGTGCAAAAACAAAAAATCATAAATAAGTGTTGAATGTGGTAGAATACACCTATTATCCCCTCAAGGGGTTTCTTATATGTCATGTAGAGTATATTGTGGTAGCCCACAGTGACTCCATTTCCATCTGGAATACGTTCTGGCTTAAAAGTCACTTGTGTTCAAGCTTGTCTGCTCTGTTTATCCTTGAGGGCTGTAAAAAAAAAGTTGATTAAATCCATGGGAAAGAGCATTTTCGCCCATAAAAAAGAACACATTATCGACTAAGATACAGGCTGAAGTATGCCAGCCAAGGGCACATCTAGATAGAAATAGGATATTCTTCCTAAAGGATTCCTGCTTTCTAAAGGATAGGAATGGTCTTTTGGTTAGATACTGACTGTGCTGTACTTTGTTCTGCTTTTGTATATAAGCAGGCTTTGAAATAAACTCGGGGCCATCCACAGTAAGCTAGTAACATAGATCTATCCTGTGTTTTCTGCCTCAATTCTCTCAATCTAACATTTCTTTAGCCTCCAAGCCCCCTTCCAGATACCCTGGCTGACTTTGTTGGAGCAGGCTCCAACAGTATATGACAGAGAGAGGTTCCAGTAGAGGTCATCAGCAATAACTTTTTTTTTCCCGTGAAAACAATCATTAGTGTAAATAATGTTCTTAAAGTTCTAAAAGTTAATCTTCTGACAAAATGATTTACTGAGAGTTCAAAAGTTGCCAGGATGGAGGTGGGTGGTCCTTGGACTTCCCACAGGGCAGGGAACCCTGATTGCTCTTTGAGCTGACGAGGGAGGGGGACTTGATTGAGGGAGGGGGAGGGATGGCTCAGAGGTTAAGAGCATTGCCTGCTCTTCCAAATGTCCTAAGTTCAATTCCCAGCAACCACATGGTGGCTCACAACCATCTATAATGGGATCTGGCACCCTCTTCTGGCCTGCAGACACACATGCAAACAGAATACTGTATACATAATAAATAAAATCTTTAAGAAAAAAAAGAATATTCATTGACACTAAGTATAATACAAATTCTTTAAATTCATTTAATTACTAAAAAATGAGTGGCAGTATATACTAAAATACATATATCTCTAAAATTTGGCAATTTCATTCCTTTGTACATACATACCTAAAGTGTGTATGTCAAGTACTAGAATTTCTATAACAATACTTTTCATAAAAGTTTAGCCTGAAAACTATCCAAATATCCACTAATAACACAACTGATCAAAAGATTGTAACACAATCACACACTAGATTATATATATAAGTAAAAATTGTCTATAATTTTAAGCTACAACATAGATAAACCTAATAAACATAATATTTAATAAAAGAAATCCAGATAAAAAGAGTATTGCTACATAAGGAATTGAGATTAGTAACTGATCTTGGAAGAAAGACTAGTGATTAGAGCTTTTTTGAATAATGAAGATCTGTAATTTTTTCTTAGAAATATTTCAATTAAGTTTTGAAAGTGAAGTTTTTCTCTTTAATATTGTTTCACATTTTAAACAATGTGGTTATGAACGATATGAAGGATTTTTAAAGCTATATAGTCATGCTGGCTGGTTAGTTGTCAACTTGAGAAAAGGAGAGTCGTCTAGAGAAAGGGTGCCTCAGTTGAGAAAATGCCTCCATTAGACTGGACTATAGGCAAGTCTATGCAGCAATTTATTGATTGATGTGAGAAAGCTCAGTCTGCTTGGGGCAGTACCACCCTTGGTAGATAGGCCTGAGCTGTAAAAAAAAAAAAAAAAAAAAAAAGCGCAGGATACACAAACGAGGAAAATCAAGTCAGTAGTCAGCGTTCCTCAATGGCTATCAAAATAATTACAATACTAGAGGAGCTAGGTGGTGGTGGCACACACCTTTAATCCCAGAACTCAGGAGGCAGAGGCAGGCAAATCTCTGTGAGTTTGAGGCCAGCCTGGTCTACAAGAGCTAGTTACAGGCAAGGCTCCAAAGCTACAGAGAAACCCTGTCTCAAAAAACAAAAAGAAAAGAATACTAGAACTAAAGTTGACTAATTTTCATAAGCTGAATAATATTTGTGTGTATTTATCAGTTTATGAATGAGAATTTTTTTCTTTCTGAAATGGTCAACAAGAACACAAAATTCATATCTATCATAAAGAATATGAAAATTATTTGAGGCCAAATCCATCTCTGAGTCTTATTTAAAAGTGAACAAACTAACCCTATGATGTATTTCTCTGATATATTTCAAGGAAATGAAGAAAATAAGACACAAATTTTCAATTAAAAAGAGTGGAAACAGGTTCAGATACTTTTCACCTCTACTTGCAAAAGAAGTGTCCCTGTAAAGACTAGTCTTCAACAGTGGGAGAGGATTATCTCATTCTCTGTGAAGTCATGAACTTAGGTAACAAATGTATCTTGCTATCCTTGTGCCTGGCTGAGTAAAGGAAAGGAAACTTAAGAGTTGAATAGCATATAAAAGAGGGGTTTATCAGAATGAAATTCTGCAACTACACAGAGTGGCAAGATTATATGAGTTCCCTGCAGAATAAATATGTGAGCCGGGTGTGGCGGCACGTGCTTTTAATGCCAGCACTACAGAGACGGAGGCGGGAGAATCTCAGTGAGTTCAAGGCCAGTTAGTCTACAGAGAAAGCTTGAGGATAGCCAAGACTACAAAAGAGACCCTGTCCCATAAAACCAAAATAAATAAACATGTAGAAGGCAGTTAAAATTGCATCATCTTGCTCATGACAATTACTCCAAGATGACTGTTAAATAAAAGACAGAAAAATGATGTAGAACAAATAGCAATGCAGATGGTAACTATAACAATCCTATAAAGCATCTAAGCAGAACCAGACCTTGCACATGCAAGACTTTGCATTGGTAAATAAGCAACAAGTTATGGAATCTGCCCAAGATACCATTAAATTTGGACAAATGAGAAAATAAAAGATTTAAAAAATGAAACCATTTCATACTTATGCCACAAAAAAAAGTCTTTGCAAAAGAAAAATTAGTTTTATGTATGTACAATCTATGACATATCATACCAAAATTTTTTCTATTAAAAAATTACTGTTATCTTGGAAATTTATCAACCAACCTTTACAAGTGTTGTAGATAAAATGTTTTTGGCAGATGTCCGAAAACAATCTCTGTTATCTTTGCATTTGCCACTATCCATTGATGAGGAAATCCGAGATATTTTTTGTGAAGGAGTTGCTTTAGAATCAAATTTCTGACAGGTGGTTTCAGGTGACTCTGATAAAGATGTCTGTATTTTCTACATTGGACAAAAGTGAATAAAACCATATTAGTCTTTTTTTTTTTAAATAATGTGTCATTCTGAAGCCCATGTTGGTCTCAAACTCCAAAGTACTTTAGTTTTGCAGTCTCATTCCTCTCGTAAAGGAAGGAAAAAATGCCAACAAGGAATTTTCAGGGAAAGAAAAAAACTGAAAAAAATGGGCATTTGCTCCAATTTTGAGAGTAAATATGTTACAAATTTACTCTCAAATAAATACTTTGGCATTATTTCTTTTTTTATTATTGATTTTTACTGAGCTCTACATTTTTCTCTGCTTCCCTCTCTGCCTCTCCCCTCCCCTTTGGCATTATTTCAACCCAATGATTTTCTCAACTCTGTCTTTGTATGCAGCTTCCCTTAGCAATTCATGTAGTAATTTCTTTCCATATACATTGTATATAT